TTACAGAATAAATCATGTTTAAAACAATATCAAAAGCTATCTTGTTCCCCACAAAATGTACCACAACAATTGACTTCCTCAAGAAATTCCCATATTACATTGCAATAGGCAAGGAAGGACTTATCTGGAAGGAAGGTAACAGCTGGCCTGGCACATAGGGACATCAGATTAAAATTAATAAAAATGAGCAGGGATTACATGGGTCCTAAAGTCGCCACCACAAACTATATCCTATTTAGAGGGCGTTTAGTTCAGGGAATGTTGGATTACTGAAAAGTTAAATTACCTTGAACATTACTGAGAATCTTTAGAAAAATGTGTTTGGTTAATTGGTGGGTATGTTATATTAATATGTTTGGTATGGAGGAATAAATTGGTGGGTATGTTATTTAAATTACTGAATTGTCCTCTAATTAAATATTATTATAATATTATTTTTTAATATTAATTATTATTTGAATTATTATAACCCCCCTGCATTTAAAAACTTAGCAAAAAAAACCTCATAATAACAGTTTGGAAAATCAACAAAGCATCCCCACCAACCCAACGACTGCCGGCCATCGGCAACCTAACGACATACGGAAGGTAGGAAATGGCCTCCATGCGTCGTATGGCCATTTCCGGCTAGAGATTTGGCCTGAAATGGCCAGACGTGACCAGCCAAATCGATGGCCGTTGACGGCCACAGACATGGCCATTAACGGCCATCGATCTAGCCGTGGACGGCCAGATCTGGCACGATCTGGCCATTTCCGGCCAGATATTTGGCCGAAAATGGCCATATCGGCGTACAACGGCCATTTTCGACCTTCCGTGCGCCGTTCCGACGACAGCTGGCCGAGGCGATGGTTGCCTACAGCAGGTGGGTGGGGGTGGTGGCTTGGGTGAGCTATAATTTGTTTTGAATTCCAAGGTAATTTTGTCCAAAAAGTTAATTAATTGGGATGTAATAGTAAAAGCCATATTCATGTAAATAAATTTAAAAATAAGGACATTATTGTCCTAAAATTTTATTAATAAAGGATAGAATTATAACAAAAAAGAGATTACCATAGTAATCTTAGAATACCTAAGAAAATGGAGGTAATCAGATTACCTCCAATATTACTAACAATAATTACTATTAATATTTGAAGATTTCTAAAATCTTATATTACTTGACAATCAAACGTGGTAATCAAATAATAGAAGATGACATAACTCCAGTAATCCCACATTATCCCCAACCAAACGCCCTCTTAGGGTTCATGAGACATCTCCACTATTAAAATAAGCAACCAAGTAGATTCCGAATGCATACAAACCCTACCCACGAAACAAAATTGAGAGAAGGATACTGGAAGTTTTGGCCAAGCACTTTCCTGGGAAAACCAGAACCTGGTTTCAAATATTTCTCAATTTAGTTTGCTAAATTGAAGTGTTCTGGAGTGTTGGTCAACAAGTTTGAGTTTTAGAGAACTAGTCTTGAGAATACTCACGACTAGGTATGCTCTCATCTTTTTTTAATTTTTGATCCCTGATGTTGAAAAGTATATGATTCAATATTTACGTACTTGCATGTATCAAAACCAACATTATATAGCAAATGGAATCTGAATATTCAATAATTAATTTAATCGAGCACCATAAATAACTTGAGGCTTAGTATAAACCTCTTGCTTTGGTCCCAATTTTATATACTGAGCTGAATCAGCAGCAACTAGAGCAGGTTCACAAAGCTTTATAGCAGCATGAAGATCCTTCAAATGTCCCCATTTAGGCTGACTCAAAAGACCTATATGAAAAATACACGAGATCCTTTAGCTTGGACCTCAGTAAGAATTTTAACACTAAGATTGACCCTTGATACAGAATTTCTCTTGGCAAGTTACTTATGCCACGAAATCCTGGAAAAATAAATAAGAACTTGTGCCACAACCAAGAAAGGTTTCCAAGTGAGGAACAACTATGGTTATTTAGAATTAGTTTAACATACCATATTCATCAAGTGGAGCATCATAATCGTAACTCGTAACATAGAATGGGCCACCAGAAGTCCGACCAAAGTTTGTTCCACCAAAATACTGCAACAATACATCAGGCTTGTCAAGAGGCAGCACGTGCACATTAATAAGAGGAATACATATAGGCGTTACTGACGTTACCTATATAATGTGTTCTCTGTCAATCATAAAATTTATTGAAGTTACAAAAACCAACAGATTCTTTGAACCATTTAATCTTCCCAAGGAGTGTGGGACCTCACAATTATAGAGTTACAAAAACCACAAAAGAACTCATTTTTAGTTTATTTTAGTTTCATTAGGACAGCAACATTGAAAACCAACTCTAGACCCTTAGAAAGCTTCACTGCCATGTCATGTTGGCGCTAGCCACTTCCTATTCATTAGCATATTTTAACTAACGACTCCAAAATAGCTACCACTGTAGGAAACAAAAAAAAAAAAAAAAAAAATTAGGTGCAACTACTTTTGTTTAAAACACCACAGAATCTTTAAAGAATTTGATTGAAACCAGGAAAAAGTCACATATAACCATAATAACAAGGTCTTACTCCCATACCATTTTCCAAATGAAATCCTATCTTGTCATGCATGTCCTGTTCAATCTAAATCAGCTCAAATTCAGTTATCTATTGTACCATATAGTAATTCATAAAGCTCCCTCCGCGTTGATAAAAGCGTGAAACTGCAAAAGCAAGATCTTCAGCAGGCCTATGAGGCAATCTTCCACCCCATGTCGTATACCTTCAAATTTCACCCAAAAAAATTAATTTTGTAGCTCATATAGAATAATAGCACTTTCTGAACAGGAGTCATAATAACTCATGCCTAACATAGTTTACTACTGATTCATTGCTCATGTACTTCCAGCAATATTTAAAAAATATATATATTTTCAACAGGAACCAAATATTTCAAAGTTCAGCTTTAGAGAAGGTATCATTTTGAATTAGTAGGAAATTTTTCAAACGGTAACATGGCAACATGTAACACAACTTAAAAGATTGAGTACACTTTATTCAACTAAATAGATATTAGAAAACAGAGCTAAGCATTCACCGAGCAAGATAGAAGGAAAGGGAGATTCTTATTTATGTAAAATTATGTTTTATCAAATGATGAAATAAGCACTAATCAGAAATCGTTAAACATTTAAATTCTTTAATCATGGACAAAACAAAACAAAATAATATTTCCTCTATAACAACCAAAACAGAGTTTTAATAAAAAATAAACTTGTATAGTTTGTTTCTAAGACAATAGTATATAGCATTTTATGAAGTATGAAATTTTCAAAAGCCCATTGTATTCAACTATTATTTAGCTGATATAAGATGCCTCCAAGAAACCAGGGGATACTTAGGGTACCTTAAATGAATCCTACTCAAATCTTAAAACTAAATCTATCACCAAATAAAAAAAAAATCAAGCATTCCTATAAAAATTTTGTCTATTTTTTCCAACACTTGATGGTTTTGTAAATAACTGTGCTTAACTGTAAATTTTGCATTTGTCTAAAAAGATAATCTTCAAATTCTCAAAGAGACCGAGTATGTTCTAGGATCAAACACATCTCTTAACATAAAGAAAGTACAAACTAAAATTTGTAAACAAATAATCATAGGATGAGACAAACAAAACCCTATGGAATCATCATGCACTACCATACCATCCATCCCAATTCTCTGTCCAAAGTATTGGTTTGTTATTCGAGTTTGGCTTGAAACCATCACAATAGTATCCATTACAGGCATCTATCTGTGCAGAGAAAAGGCAAAACCAAAATCAATGAATTTGTCAACAGTTCTAAATCCAATAACTTTTACACAATAAGAATATCAAACTATGTAAAGTTTTACATTTAAGAAACCACTATGCAATTAAATTCTAGCTTCTTTTCACATTGTTTTTATACTTTCTACAGTGCAATTTAATATTCACAAACACTACATGAAAGAAATTTAAACACAGATAATCAAGGCCAGGCTTTACGATATTTTCCGGAGCATCAGTTTGCTTGCACATCACCCATGGAACTCCAGCACCAAGCCCAAGGGCCATATTGGCAGCCCATTTAACATAGTCCTTCCCTGGCAGGCCATATGAGCTTTCCATGTTTCCATATTCATTCTCAATCTGATAAAAATTAATTACAATTAGAACCCAGTTAGCTACAAGAAATATTGAAAAATAAAAGTGTCTAAGGCTGGTTTATTTAGTAACAAGTAAATGTTCCTCTAGCACATTAAACTACAAATACTATATCTCAAGTCTAAATGTGGCATATTAAACTGCAAACACTATATTCCCTTTTCAAGTCTAAATGTGCATGAAATTAGGGTTTACAGGGTTTAGGTAGGGTTCATTGTTGTCAACTTGTCCCTTATATCATAACTTCTTTTTTTCTTAATACGATTTTCTTGTTTCCTACCAAAAGAAAAATGTGCATGACACTAGGTGCAAATTGCCATCATTATAAGTTCATTAAAATCAATAGGCATTATCACAGCCTAGATTTGGGCCACCTTTACAATCAAGGCCATACATCTTGTGAATATAGTAAACACATTGAAAGCAGTCATGCACAAAGTGAACTTAACGTTCTCTTACAACCTGCAACATAATGATTGGACCACCTTGCCAGGAGAACAGCATTTCCTCTCGCATCAGATCCACAATCTTCTTGACAAACCGTTGCATCTCCTCCTGGAAAAATTGAAGCATCATTGAGTTGTTATTAGCACCAACACAAAGTTCAATTTCAGTTTTCTGCAAGCTTAAGGTGAATCTCATCGAAAAGAGTAAATTATCATATAACATAACCTCGCTATTTTTTCTTTTTCCTGATGCCCAGAAATCCCACTACCTTTCTTGAAAGTGTACCAAGCTCAAAATTGGGGTCTATGACCAGACCCTACAAACTTTAGTAGGAAGCTTGTGGAACATAAAACTAAGTGATATTCTATCAGCTTCTCCAATATAAAGCCCTTCCCAAGGAACTACTCTACATGAAAATTAACTGAAGAGATAATATATTTT